TCTTCTGACCTTAGATAATGTTGTGTCCTTACAAGTCTCTTTTTTTACTTCTGACTGGGACACAGGTAGTTTCTATCGCTTCGTCGTAAGCTATGGCAATCTCACTTTGTTGCAGCGCTTCATCGATATGTAATCGCGATAAACAGTCAACAGTCATTGGCTTTGCTGTTTCGAAAGCGGATGTCATAATTAAAACTTGTCAGGTATAAGGCCCACCTTTGGATCCTCTCAGCCGCTAGCACGGGGAGCCTTTGCCGGTGACCAAATATAGTCGTCAATGGCTTGTTATCGTAATGAGGGTATACTTCCTCCCATATAAGTAAGGATAGATTTTCTTAAGTGCATAAACAATGCCCAGTGCTTCCCTTTCTAGTTGGGGGTATTTCTGTTCGGTTTTCGTTAGTGAACGTGATGCAAATTTAATGGGACTTTCTCTTCCTCAATAACATGCGACAAAATTGCACCATACCCACAGGAGATGCGTCCGTTGCGAGAGTAATAGGTAGTTCTGAGAGTAATAGGTAGTTCTGAGTCATAGTGTACCAGGACTCCAGAGGTTTTTAACGCTTGTTTGGATTTCTCAAATGCTTGCTTTGCCTTATTTGACCAGTTCAAATGCTTCCTTTTTTCCAGCATTTTGGTCAAGGGTTTAAAAAGTGTTTCCAAATTTGGAATAAAGATCTGTAGTAATTTATCATTCCTAGATAAGAACACAAGCTTCCTACATCTTGGGGTAATGAAATTCCCATTATTTGGTCAATTTTACTTTGGCTTTTATGGATACCTTCCTTATCGACCTTATGGCCCAGGTATTCGACAGAATCCTTCATGAATTCACATTTGCTTTTCTTTAATTTCAACCCGTACTCTTCCAAACGGCACATAACGCTCTCTAAATTCGTGACTAATATGTCATCTAAATATAATTGTACTCCCGGTAGCCCCTTTAAAACCGTATCCATGGCATTTTGCCATATTGCTGGGGCGGTGGTAATCCCAAATACTAATCGATTTTGTCGGAAGAATCCCTTTCCGTAACTACCGTGAGAATATCTTTTGAATTTTCTGTCAACTCCATTTGGTTGTACGCCTGGGCTAAGTCAAGTGTAGTAAATTTTTGACCTCCTGCCAAATTTGCCAATATGTCTTCTACATTTATGTTAGGGGCGTAGTAGAGTCAAAATATGAAGAAAATGCACGTACCCCAAAAAATTGCAAGAAAACGTTTTATGATGGTTTTATGTACAATAACATGTGGTGAATAACATATCAAAATTTGGCAAAAATCGGACCACCGGAAAGGTTCGAAAAAAGAGGTAAAACACTGATGGTCGCCAAATGTGTAAAAATGAGTAAAATCTACTCATAAATGTGGAATTCAACAATAATCTACCATTTTGAGTGTGAAACCGGAGTCATAATTTTCTTTGTCAACCTGTGACTTTAGTGCATACGGTACCCTATTACATTTGCTACCCACAGGTGTTGCCCCTTCCACTAACTGGATATCAGCTTTGATATTCTTTAAACAACCTAATTCAGCATTAAACAAATCATCATGTTTACTCAACACTTTGTTTAGGTTATTGATACTGTTTAATTTGTTTATGTGTTTGGTCCCACCAAAATTTAGCTTATTCCAGTTAAGTTTTATATGGGCCAGCCAATCTCGTCCTAACAACGAGTGTTCGGCACCAGATACAACATACAAGGGCAGTGAGAGGTTTTGGCTCCCATAACTAACATTAACCTTGGTCTTTCCTTTAGGGGTTACCTTTTCACCCGTAAAACTACTAAACACTTTACTGGTATGTTCTAACTGAACACCCTTCAACTTATGATCATATACATTATCAGGGATCAAGGTCACAGCTGACCCTGTATCCAGCTCAAAGTCAATGTTTGTATTATTTACCATCAATGTAACAATAATTGGATTGGTATTTCATTTACCAATTCCATAGGTTGACGACACTGAAACCGTCCCAATAACGTCTTCGTCACTGCTGTACTGCTCTTGTTTCACGCACGACACTCGCTTACTTTTCACATTTTTCCCTCTACATATCTTAGCGATATGACCAACTTTTCCACAACTGTTGCAGGTTTTCTCTTTAAACCAACACTGCTCTTTCTGGTGATTCTTCCTACCACATCGTGTACATGATGCAGAACTTATTTTGGTAGTGTCCACTGTTGTGCGATGTGCGATTGTACTGAGCTTGTTTCCCTCTACTGCTTTTAAATTTGTGTACAGCATTTATTGATTGTTCAGGTGTACTCATCTCTTTTGTTTGTGCCTGCACTAGCTCAAAAGAATTTGCGATAGTGATCGCTTTCTCTAATGTTAAACCGTTCCCCTAACAGCACTTTCCTCAATTTATCCGAATGACACCCTTCAATCAACTGATCTCTTACTTTTATGTCTAAACCTTCACCAAAATTACAGAAAGCTGCCTGTCTATTCAATTTTGTAATGAATGACAATACAGATTCACCCGGATCCTGTTTAATCCTGCGCAGTTTATGTCTCTCAAATGGTTCATTTTTTGAGGTTCAAAATATCTATCAAGCTTACTTATTGCTTTCTCATATTCCGATTCTTGGTTCCCTTCGGCATCTGCTGGCGTGGGCAGTGCGAAGAAAATCTGTTGCAGTTTCATGCCTCCTGCATGCAATAGTACTGCCTTTTTCTGCTGATCGTCTGTAATGACCTTAGCCATTATCATGATCTCGATCGAAGCCTTCCATTCCCGCCATCTGACAGCGAGGGTCGTTGGCTCGGCTTCCAAATTTAATTTCGGAATATCGGATGCAAAATCGATTTTTACGGCCATGTTTACGATACACTCCTTCTCAGTATATTTCGTATCCGTTTATCCACCTCGTCGCCACTGAAATGTCTCTAGGGACGTCAATTGGTCCTGGACAAATACTCAATAAACAAGACTAGACTACACCACCATTTGGGTTCATCATAGCAACACTTTATTCAGCTATCCGCCTAGCGCGTCACATTGATAGCGCCATCTATAGTAGCTATAAATATCCAACACACACACACATATATCTGTCTCTTATACACATCTAGATGTGTATAAGAGACAGTGCATAAACAATGCCCAGTGCTTCCCTTTCTAGTTGGGGGTATTTCTGTTCGGTTTTCGTTAGTGAACGTGATGCAAATTTAATGGGACTTTCTCTTCCTCAATAACATGCGACAAAATTGCACCATACCCACAGGAGATGCGTCCGTTGCGAGAGTAATAGGTAGTTCTGAGAGTAATAGGTAGTTCTGAGTCATAGTGTACCAGGACTCCAGAGGTTTTTAACGCTTGTTTGGATTTCTCAAATGCTTGCTTTGCCTTATTTGACCAGTTCAAATGCTTCCTCAGTGCATTATGACTTTGCGGTGAATTTCAATGACGTCATCTTTGTCTCAGCGTATCAACGTCCCAGCGTATCAGCGTCTCAGTGTATCAGCGTCTCAGTGTATCAGCGTTTATAAGACAACGGTCCTTTACAGTGTGTACATTGTAGGTTTCTGCGAGTAGGTTGTTCATTTCTGCGAGTAGTGTGAAGCACTGATTGGATGGGAGTGTATTAACAGGGACGTAGCCAGGATTTTGAGCCGTTATGCGAATTACGTATGACCCCGGCGGGGTCAAGGGGACGAATCCCTCTGTGAAGTAGCGCACTCTGAACGTTCTTAGAACTGTTTGAGATGATAAAGTGAAAATTGCAATAGACGGATTATAAATAAGTGCAAAAATAATTATATAATAAATCAACAGTGGCAGATCCAGGAATTCAAAAGAGGGGTGAACCAGGGAGGAACTTTCACAGACCGAGGAACCAGCCACCCAACCATGGTGGGGCTGAGGTAAAAAAAATTTATGATTAGGGCATCTCTAGATGGCCGGAAATTACACTCTCGCACTTCAATTTGAATATATTTTTCTTTTTTTTCCTTACAAAAATTAAGTGGGGGGGGGGGGCTTGAATCCACCTCTGCTCAAAACATTCTTTATCAAGAATAGTCATAATCATGAAAAATGTACATGAAAAACCAGATCACATCCTAAAAACAAACAGCAGTCACTAAGACATACATCAGGTTTTGAAAAGTGGAGGGGGAGGTCATTTTGTGAGTCGACACCCACCCCAGCCCCACAATGGTTGGAGCTGAGGTGAGAAAATTTGAGGAAATAGTACCTCTAGATGACTAGAAATGACACTTTTAGTAAAATTCATCATCATCAGATCACCATTAGTCAAAATGAAGCGCCAAAAAAAATTCTCATGATCTTTTATCATGGATTTTTGACAACCATAGAGATCTTATTAGTGTGTGTGTGTATACCATAGAAAACAAAGCTTAAATACATTGTCTTTGAGTATGTACTTTACATGGCCTACTTCAAAAACGTGATTTCACAAAGGTTGTTCGTTTCTGCGAGTAGGTTGTTCGTTTCTGCGAGTAGGTTGTTCGTTTCTGTGAGTAGGTTGTACGTTTTTGCGAGTAGGTTGTTCGTTTGTAACTGTATTTTTGGCGGCGATTGCCTTCAGGTATTGTTATGCTAATGAGCCAGATAAGCACAATCTGCACATGCTCAGAAAAACAAGAAATATCCTATTGCAGAATTCAGGAGGTCAAAAGGTCATCAACAGATAAACGCCTACAAAACAAGTTCTGAGAGAACGTCGCTGTCTGATTTTTAAAAATACATAATTCATAATTCATAATTTTATTTCCTCACATGAGATGGTAGTTAACAAAGGGAGATATTCCCTGTACAAGTGTCAACTACCAAAGCATAGAATAATAATAATATAACAATAATAACAGCAACAACAACAATAACAATAATAACAACAACAATAATAATAATATTCATAATAATGATCACAGAAATAAGTAAAATTATAATAATAATAATATTCATAATAATGATCACAGAAATAAGTATAATAATCATAATATAGTGATCATAACAATAATGACAATGGTATAAAGGGTGAACATTAGCAATTATTTATATCTAAATGTCATTAAAGACCAATGACATAGGCCTAGGCCTTTTCCTTCTTTTTAATCGGAACTAGTAGTGGTGTAGCCCTCAGTATTCGCTATCTAATCTATTTAGGCCCAGCACTTTCGCGACTTATAGGCAAGGGCTAGCCTACTACTACACATAGGCAAATTACTTCTACTCCAGGAGGCTAGACCTAGCCTATACTTTTTACATAGTATAGGCCTAATTATAGACATGATTGAACAGACGTTCTAACTTGTTTGTAATGATTATACTGTAATTTATTTTGGTAGGTTATGAATGAGATAGATATAGGCCGAGGCGTGCCAACAGAACTTGAAGACCTAGAACATCAAGTCCATCATCAGCTGAAGATGCCCATCTCCAATGAAGCACAAATCCAGGTATTTTTTTTTGCATTATATAGAAATACTCTCAAGCTAATTAATATTACTACTGGTGTGTATCAGTCAGCCTATACACTATGTTCAGGGAGTTGTTTGTATGTTATAATGTGATGCAATACTACATTTAGAACAAATCGTGATGTACTTGTACTATAATTAATTTGCCAAATACATGGAAACAAATGGTTAATGGTTATTAATTTATAGAGCTCAAAATACAAAAAGTCTCTAAGCGCTATCAGGCAAGTGTAAGGATGGAACGGAAAACAAAACCACAAAATAAAAAGAAGTGAAATTTGAATACGATGCCAGCGCCCAAACCGAAGTATGGGGATACGCCCTCATCGCTGGCTAGGGTTAAATCTAATTGAACTACAGTCAGCACCTGTTGAGTCTCGGCCATCTCGGATTCGGGCGCCTCCTATCCTAGTTAAGGCTATAAAAGCTAGCTGGCATGGAAATAGGAAAAAAATAAATTAAAGGGACGAGAATAAGTGGGTCTTAAGTCGTTCTTTGAAAATGGTGACAGAAGGTGACTCACGAATAAATAAAGGTAACAAGTTCCACAACTTGGGCCCAGCAACCATAAATTCCCGTCTCTTATACCCACCTAGATGTGTATCAGAGACAGAGACGTACGTGGCGCCCGGAGGGAACGAGTGCAAGTTGCAGAACGAACCTTAATTAATTCGGAAATGTATTGTGGTGATAACTTGTGAATTGATTTGTAAACATATAAAAGTACTTTGAATTCAATACGCTGTTTCACTGGCAACCAATGAAGACAACGAAGAGTAGGGGTGATGTGATGGAATTTAGGTGTCCCAGTGACAAGACGAGCAGCGATGTTCATCAATAGCTGCAGCTTTCTAATTGATGTTAATGGTATTCCGTAAAGGACTCCATTACAATAATCCAATCTTGATGTAACCAATGCATGTACAAGTTTTGATGTAGCATCTTCATTTAAAAAAACGCCTAACTGCCTTGATGTTGCGGAGATGGAAGGATACTACTCTGCATGTGTTTGTAATATGTCTAATCATGGATAGTGTGGAGTCAAACGTTACACCGATATGTCGCACCTCAGAAGATGGAATGATGTAGGTGTCTCCCACGCGGATGTTTTCAATGATGGGTACATTTAGACGGCGTTTAGGCTTTATATACAGCACTTCTGTCTTGTCTGTATTGCAGCAAAGCACATTGATAGACAGCCATCTATGAACATCATCAATACAACCTTCTAAGTTGCGAACTGTCTCTGCGGCAGCCTCCGGACTAAAAGATGTGTACAATTGCGTGTCGTCGGCATAAATGTGATATTTAATACCGTGTTTCTGAATGATGTCACCAAGAGGACGTACGTAAAT